AGTTTGCAGAACAGATGTCCTGATTATACTTCTTTCTTTCAGAGGGGCTCTTCATTCCAGGAATGAGAATCCTCCCAGTATGTTCTTTCACATGGTGACATGGCTTCTTACACTGCTCCAGCTGTAATAAAAACTCTATTCAGGAATATAAAGCATTCCACAGCTATAAGAAAGACTATCTTGTCTAATTCCAGAGAAGTTACTGTTTGAGGCTCTTATGTATCATAGGATGAGAATGGCGTGTATTTCTCTAAATCTGTAGTCTCCTCTAACACCCATCTCAGCCTCCCCCACTGATGCCACCCATGGTTCTATGCGCAGCCCATTAGGATTTGCTGTGTAGTGTCTGAACTTTCCACTAAAACTTAATGATACGCATTGATGAATGAACCTTTAATCTTCTTTAACACTGACACTTGTATGGTGCTGTCTCTGGCCTGGAATGGTTTTAGACACCCTCCCATGGGCGAGATTTTCAAGGGTCACTCTAAAGCTGGTGTTCTGACTGGTGTGTTGATTGTACATTCTCATCCAGCCAGGAAGCAGGTCCATGTGTAACAGTGAGCTAGAGAACACCGAAAAGTCCACTGGTTTGGTGGTTGTGATGCCAACGGGACCTTGTGAGCAGTACTTATGTGTTGCGCACTCCCAGAGATTGTTCCAGTTCCTGCCGGCGCTGCTGGATCTGAAAGAAAAAGAGAAACTGTACAGTTCAGCAGATTCAACTGTTCAGTGGCAGGAAGATTCATTTATAGGCCAACAGTGTGGATAATTCCTTCACACCTTGCAGTAGAAATATCTGCTGACAGCCTCTTGAGACCACGGCTCGTGATAAAATTCAGCCCTGCGTTCTTCCTCTGGGTTTCCAACTACATCGGTCATCACCTGTGACAAAAATAAAAACATTTTTCACTATAGCTCTTCCACCACAGAGGCACATTTGGATTTACCTAGAGTCAAAATTTATCTACATTACTACATTAAAAATGTTCGGGACTGTTCTCTAAGCTGAAGGCAAATGGACAACGAACAGCATGTGTGCTTCCTACCGAAACAAGATGGTTGCATACAAACTGTCAACTGCGAACAGCTCCTAAGCTGCGCCAAGGAATAGTTCTAGACATCAGCAGCTGCTCAGGCCAGGTGTCACAATCTCTAACAATTTAACAGCATGGGCAGTTTAGTTCCAGTGCCAAGGAAAAGTTCTCCGGCACTGTTTATTTTATTAGCTTACACATCCAAAGAGCCTCCCACAGGGTAACAGCCTGGAATTGTTAAGGAATTCACATCAGACTGAAGCACAACTATATACCTGTCTTGCCCTTGTCTCAAAGCACATCTGACCCCAATTTCAAGGTAAGTTCTGACGGAGAAAGCACTCAGGAAAAATAACTCTATTAAAATGTAAGGAACAGAAAATCCCAGTAATTCCCAAATGGACAAAATCCTGAGCTGATTTTTCAGTCGCTGCACAATTGCTGAGAAAGCAAGATTTAAGAAACTGATGCGTTTTTGAAGGAATTAGTGGATGAGATCACCTGGAAAACTGCCCTTTAGGGACAAAGAAGCTGAACAGAGCTGTCAACCCTTTAAGGATGTTTTTCGTAACATGAAAGAGTTCTAAATTCCCGTGTGTAAGGAACTGGATAAGGAAGGCAGGAGACAGACATGACTCAGTAAGGACCTCCTTACTGAGTGAGGCAGTGAAACCAGGGACGTGTATCTTGGGAAGAAAATAGGGATGCTGCCGAGGTGTGCAGGGATGGGCTCAGGCAAGCTAAAGCACAGCTGGAGCTCAATTATGCAAAGAATAATAAGAAGGGCTCTTACGGTACGTTGGCCAAGAAAGGAAGACTAAAGAAAATGTACCCCTCTCTACTAAATAACACAGGAGAGCTGGTGACAGACAATACGGAGAAGGCTAAGTTAAACAAAATATTTTTTTTTGCCTCAGTTTTCAATGGTAACTGAAACTCTCTTCCCACATCTCTCAAGCCTCTGAATCTCAAGGGGGAAAGAAGATCAAGTTTGAGACCACCTGAGGTACCTGAACATACACAAGTCCATGCAACCTGACAAATGCCAGGTCCGGAGGGAACTGGCTAATGTAGTCACCAAGCCCCTCTTCAACACGTTTGAAAACTCACAGCAGTCAGGCAAAGTGCCCAGTGACTGGCAAAAGGGAAACATCACACTAATTTTTAAAAAAGGGTAAAAAAGAGGACTCTGGGCACTATTGACCAGTCAGCCTCACCTCTGTGCCCAGTAAGATTCTGAAACAGAACCTCCTGTAAGACGTGTTGGGAAATGGGGAAGCCAGGGAGATGACTGGAGACAGGCAACATAGATTCACCAAGGGCAAGCTGTGCCTGACCGGTCTTCTGCAACGGGGTGACTGCAGTGGTGGATCATGGAAGTGCAAGCGCTGTCATCACCTGGTCGGGGCAATCCTCGGCCCCAGTATGGACAGACGGGTGAGTGGATTGAGAGCAGCCCTGCAGAGAAGGACTGGTGGACAAAAAATAGGTAGGACCCGTGCGCTCAGAGCCCAGAAATCCAACCACACCCTGGGCTGCAGCCAGTGCAGCATGACGAGTGGGGTGAGGTGGGGGATTCTGCCTCTGCTCCACTCTGGTGAGATTCCACCTGCAGTTCTGTGTCCTCCAGCACAGGAAAGCCATGGACCTGCTCAAGTGGGTGCAGAGGAGGCCACAAAGATGCTCAGGGGCTGGAGCAGCTCCCTGTGAGGACAGGCTGGGAGAGCTGGGGCTGTTCAGCCTGGAGAAGAGGCTCCTAAAGGGGAGACATTATTGTGGCTTTCCAGTGCTTAAAGGGGGCTGATAAGGAAGATGGAGAGAAACTTTTTACCAAGATCTGTAGTAACAGGACATGGGGAAAAACTTTTAAACTAAAAGAGGGTAGGTTTAGATTACATATAACGAAGACTTTTTTTCTGATGAGAATGGTGAGAAGCTGTGGCAGCCTCCTCCCTGAAAGTGCCCAAGGCCAGGTTGGACGGGGCTTGGAGCAGCCAAGGTCTGGTGAAAGACATCCCTGCCCATGGCAGGGGGGGGTCAAACTGGATGATCTTTGAAGGTCCTTTCCAATCCAAACCATTTTATGATTCCATTAAAAAATAAAAAGCTGATGACTACATCTCTAGCATCATAGAATCAAGGGTAAATAAAAAATTATTACCATCTTCTGCAGAGTGGTATTTCACAATCACAATTCTGATGCCAGCAGGGTGGAACATTATAGAAGAGGCCTTTATGGGACTGGTTGTCAGTCAGGAGAGCACTGAACGACTGCTCTGTGTATGCAGATAGAGGAGCTCCACAACACCTTCATTTGTAAGCCTTTCAAGCTAAGAACTACTTGATTTAAACATTCTTTCATAGGCCTGTCCCATTTTGAATACAATATAAATAATAATAATCTTAATAGTAGATTTTTGGAAGACTATTGACTAACAAACTAGACATTTGTATTTGAAAGACATAATGATAATTTCATGGATTCACTAATACAACTGGTTTTGAGGTATCTGAGTTAAAGACACAAAGTATGAAATTTTATGAGGAACAAATTTTTCCTTTTTGCCGGCAACCAACTGAACTTCTTTATATTCCATTTCATGGCTACCTTAAAGCCAAACTTGAAAAGCAGCTGATATTTAATCTGCCTATTTCTTTAATAAGATTAAATTATGAACTAAAAAAAACACCCAAATTACGTTACTGTACTATAGGATGCTCCTGCTGAGTTTTATACAGCTTTTATTTTGTGGAGTACACCAACACCGCCCCGCTCCTCAATCTTATTGTCCGACCACAAAGTCACCTACCAGCCCCAGAGGCACTGCTGTTCTGCTGGAAGCAAAGTACAGCCTGAGCTGTCTTCCCCACATACTGTCTGCTCTGGGACTGCAGCATTCCACTCATTCTCTGTCTGACACTCATTTTCCATCCTGGATGTTTTTAGCTGTACACTTTATATGCATATAGATAAAATTCTGGTTCCACTACTCCTTCAAACCTTAGCTCACCTTAAGATCCCTACTTTGGGACCGGAGAAGGTCTTGGATGTATCCTTTGGGATCTTTGGAGAAACTCAGCATGAAATCACGTTGTATTTTTAACTGATTTATGGATTCAATTGTCTCATGAATCTGACAGAGAAAAAACAAACAGATGTTACTCAATCGCTCTCATGCTCCAGTGACTCTGAGGCCAGCTCCGTTAGCCTCTCTGTAGTTCTCGTAACGTACAAGGTACGCCACACGCATTCTGAAGAGCTAAGTCATGTCACTGCACAAGGTAATAATTTTCTGTGCATAAGCAGTCTTTCTGCCGACTTGGTTTTCTTCAGGAAAGGTTCTACGTAAACATGTCTTTAAACAGTGCCCAGTGCAAGAAAGCAGTTATTCCCCTGGTTAATCATTATCGTATCTTCAATAGTCTGCTGTGATCCTTAAAATTTCTACTCACTGCCTGATCAAGACCAAGTTAAACAACTCACATAACAGCCATGACTTCTAGACTTTTTCTTACGAGAAAGCCTATTAAAGTCACAATGGCTGTGAAAAGAAGTACAAACAATGAGAAATCAAGAGTATGGAAGATTGATAGAAAATCAGGCATAGCTTAGGAAATACTATGAAAGAAACAAGCATTAACCAGCAGGGAAGAACAAGGGCTCCAAAGAGAAGTCTAGGTCCTATAATCATCCAAAACCAATTATGATCAGCGGGAGGACAGTTAAGGAGTCACTTGGACACACATACACTGAAAGGCAAACTTTCGCTACCCTCTTCCTCTAAAATTCTAGTTCGAGGTTGTAAACCTCTCCTGTTAAATTTCATGTGCACATCTGTTTTGCCAGAGCAGCTAATGTGGCCAGGCACACAGAGAAAAACAACCCTTCCCCAATCTGGCTGTACCATCAAGGCCACTAGTGTAGGCACAGCTCTGTGGTACGATAACAGAAGAGAGCTGCTGTCAACTTAAAATCATTCCTTATTTGGGAAAATGATGTGGCTGCACTGGAAAGAAATCTGTTGGGATGTGCGAGTCTCCGCTAGAGGACTCTGTGGCAGCGCTGCAGCTCCTGGTGCAGACGGACAATGCAGTAGCCGGTGCCTGTTCAGTAACTTCACTGGCCACAGCCTCTCCTCTGCTGCAGCAAATGCTCAAAAAAAGAAATGGAACGGACATGAGAAAAGGTAAGCTGGACTGAAAACAGAACAACCCTATACGTGCTGCAATGCAATCCTGTATAGGCTGGGAACCAGCTGGCTGAGCAGCTGCCCTGCTAGAAAGGACCTCTCTCAAAAGCCATAAACCAAAAGATGCTGCAACAGTCACCAGAATCCATAGGACTGCTAGTGTCCAAACTCCCTTCTCAATTACCCAAAGACCAGAATTTAACATATTTGTTTGTGTTAGAAGTAAACAAACTGTAAACTGGGCCTGATGGTGCATTACATAAATCATCTCTAGGCCACAATGTTACACCTCTTCACAGAATATTTGGGGTTGGAAGGGACCTCTGAAGACTATCTAGTCCAAATGCCCTGCCAGAGCAGGATCACCCAGAGCAGGCTGCAGACCAGGCATCCAGGCAGGTTCTGAAAGTCTCCAGAGGCAGAGACTCCACTACTTCTCTGGGCAGCCCGTGCCAGTTCTCTGCCACCCTCAAAGTAAAGAAGTTCCTCCTCATGTTTAGATGGAACTTCCTATGTTCAAGTTTGTGCCTGTTATCTCTTGTCCTGGTCTCTTCTTCTCCCCTTGCTCTGAGGAGGCACTTCTGTTTATCCCTCACCAGGCCAAACTGGGCATTTAGACACTTGCCAGAAGCTGGCTATCAGTTCCCATGACACGTGGACCCCTACTAGAGCCTGCAGGGTTTACCACTGCTGTAAGACAGATACTATTATCCGAAGTGCACTCGATCCTCTTTCAATAATACTGAAAACAAATCTGCCTAACTACACCAAGTGATTTTTCTGCCACGCATTTTTCTTATTTGCACCTACTGCAGAGAGCTGTTCTGCAACTGTGCATGCACAAAGCACAACTTGGTTATGAGATTCTCTTAGCTTTGACTTATAGCAAAGTTAACATTGATTAAAAGAATGAATTTTGATTTTCTAAATGAATTTTGACCTCTCAGTAAAAAGTTACAGTCAGCTCAGGTGACTCTTGAATGCCAGGGGATTCATTACACTACGTGTGAAACTATGCTTCTATCACCTTGACAACTGCACCAGGCCTCAGATCACATTTTACGTGGGAATGCCACTCAGCCCTCTGGGTTCCCGTTGCGTGTGGCTGGGGCATCCCTCTGTAAGCACATCCAGCGAGAAGTCCCTGTATCACGACTTCACTTTGACGTATGACACCAAACACACACAAAGGAACACAAGGAGTGTACGTGCCATGTGATATTTTACTTCTGGGCTAGTACCTTGTTGTCCAATGCTGTAATCTCTTGTTGGTTAGCTGTTGAGAGAAGAAAACTACTCATCTGTCCCTTTAATGGGTCTTCAACTTCTACATCTATGTCGTAACAAGCGGTCTTCTTCTGATCGTTGGGGTCAACACTATGGAGAGTATAAAAGAAGATCATGAGAACTGCCGTAAAGAATCAGAATAAATATCCACGCAGCCCAGAATACACTCTTAAAGCCTGCTGCAGATGCTGTGAGAAATGTTTATGAACAGGGTATCTTTATATTTTTGTATATCCTAGCATATCCTCTCATCTTTCATTAGTCAGAGTTCAGAAACCTCTGAGCTGGAGATTTTGTCCAAACTTTAATTTAGGAATGGACATAGCGTTCACTAAATTGCCTGACATCTTCCTGAGACCTGTTACAACTCTGGTCTCCAACGCAATCCCCAGTGGTAAATATCATACTGGTATGGTCTCTGCTCGACTGTATCGTTTCTGAGATAAAGTACATAAAACTGTGCACTACCATTCTGGATGCGAGCACATAATGACATTTTATTTGTTTCTTAGTTCTCTCCAGTAGTTCCTAGCATGGTAATTGTTTTGGCAACTCTGCAGCATTGTAACGATTCCCAGCTACTTCTTACATGGCAGCAGTGAATTTGGGGACCAACACTTTGTAAAGTTGCCTGCTTAATTCCTCAAAGCCTACAGCCAGGCATGCCTTCCTGTTACAGAAGCTATGCTGAGTCTTCCCCAATATATCACATCTATTAACTCCATTCTCTACTACAGTTAGTACCAAATGGCTTCCAACACCCAGGACTGGTCCTGGTATGTTTTTGGCATCACGTTAACTATTTACTGCCCCTCTGGTACTGAAGGGGATTTCAGAAACAGGTAACACATTGTACAGAACCATAGAATCTATGGTTGTACAAGACCCTTGAGATCCAACCATTAACCCAGCACTACCAAGTCCAACACGAAACCATGTCCCTGAGCAGCACCACATCCACCCGGCTTTGACATCCCCCCAGGGACGGGGACGCCACCGCTGCTCCGGCCAGCCTGTGCCAGGGCTTGGCAGCCCTTTCCCAATGTCCGATGTAAACCTCCCCTGGAGCAACTTGAGGCCGATTCCTCTCGTCCTGAGCTGTTACTCAGGAGAAGAGGCCGACCCCACCGGGCTCCAGGCTCCTGGATTTCGGGGGGTTGTGCAGAGCCCTCAGGGCTCCCCTCGGCCTCCTTCCCTCAGCACTGACCAGCCCCGGGCCCCCCGGCCACTCCTCCCGACACTGGTGCTGTGCCCCCTCCAGCGGCTTCATTGTCCTCCTCCGGACACCTCAGCCCCTCGGTGTCTGTCCTGCCGCGAGGGGCCCGAATCTGAACACGGGGTTTGAGGTGCGGCCTCAGCGGCACTGAGCACAGGGGACAGTAGGTGGCAGTTAAGCAATTTCATGGAAGTCCTGCATGGAAATCCATTTATGACTCCTCATTTAGTGTGTGTTAAATTTATTTCTCTTCAATAGGTTGATGTGAAAAAGATTTTCATAGTCTTTCCACCTGCCCTCCAAAACCCATACTGCACAGGTATGTGACCTTCCCTAATCTCTAAAGTTAACATTGATTAAAAGAATGAATTTTGATTTTCTTATCTAACTTTAAGCAGCTGATTTTCTTCCAAGAACAGAGTTTTTTAACCTTATTAATTTCTCAGCTTCGAAAGTAGGGTCCCTACTTCCAATATATTTCAACCAATCTTCCTTTTTTTTTTATTTTTATCAGACTAAATATCGGTATTACTCTTTGGCTTGTCCTATCCTAAATTTATACTTAATTTGTTGGGGTTGGGACTTAATATTTACTTTATCTTTAGACTGAAGTTTTTCAGGTGGGTATCTTGGTCACAATGACCTTCACTGAATTTAGGCATTCTTCACTCTAATTCTCTTGCAATCTCTGACTTGTTGGCATTTTTGGACTAAGAGTAACACCCAAACAGCTGACCCAGTCCCGACAAAGCACGCGTGGACTGGCCACTGCTATCTGTAATACTGCTCTGCATTTGACACTAGTAACTCGGTGACTGGAACAATTGCCCATGCTCTATAGTATCTTATTCCTATTCTCTTTTTTTCCCCTCTAAGGGGATTCAAACTCTCATTCCTCTCCCCTTAGGAAAGAAACCTCACCAACACTTTAAATGGTATTCTGGTAGGGATAAAAAGAAGAAGTTGTTTAGCATACTCTTAGACTGAAAATAATTCAGAATTATGCAGACCAGAAGACACAGAGAATGAACACAGAACGAAGTCCAAGGTATCACCTGGGACTTATAAAAACCAGATTCTGATTCTGTGTTTTACACAGTGAGTGCTTTGCATATCACACCGCTGAGCTGACGGACCACCTTACCTGATTATGTGGTTTATCACTATAGGGTCTGGTGGCAGCAGCAGGTTAGTGAGTCTCTGAGGAATCTCAGAAAACTTTAGCCGTGGACAGTCAAAGATCTGGAAGACAAGAAAGCATGTTATCCTTGTCCAAAACCCAGCTTGCAATTAAATGAGAAAATAAGAAATCAAAAGTTCAAAAGAAAGGTGATTTTGAAAGCTGAGATTCTGGCTCCTTGCGTAGAACTTTGGGTCACTTCTGTCCCTGCTGCATTCACAGGTGGGGCTGGCTAACAGGTGCAGCAGCTGAGGATGCCTCCAGGTGTCCCACGTGTGGCTCGGCTGCTGAAAGGCACAGACCACTCTGAGGGTACACCAGGAATCAGCTACGGGAGAGAAGAGCACACGTCCTCTCTCACTAAGGGCTTGCAGCAGCATACTGTAAAAACCCCATTATTTATTTATTTTTAACCAGAGGAAATATAAAACATTTGTTGGTTTGGGTTTTTTTTTTCCCCCAAGGCATGTTTCCTGCAATAGTTTGTGCTAGAGAAAAATGCTAGAAAACATTTTTGTATTTTAAAACCATTTGCCTTTTGGTTTTTTTTACCAAAGAAAAAAAGTCAACACAGTTTTACTTATTTTCTACCACAACCTGAACAGCCTCTTGGAAGGGATCCACTCCTTTCTAATTAATATCTCATGGCGACCTTCTCTTTACTATGGTCCAAAATCTAAATATGTATTGAATTCAGAAGGAAAAAAAAAAAGTGTTTTGACAAGGATCTGTAGTTTTTGGAAACTTTCTGTGAGAACTTGCAGTGTGTTACTGTGAATCTAGAACAGCTCCATACACCTAGAGTTTTCAGGAATATAACTATTCCAGCCTTTCTTTTTCCTACTGAGATTTTTAATGCTCTGAATAGGTAAATAGGCTTTTCTTTAATAATATTGCATTTAAACTGACTTAAAAAACCCCTCCAACCCTGAACTATCTATATATCAACATACGCCTTCAAACATGCAGTTACGTGGAGGTAATTTGTAAAAATGTTGAGGCTTATGCAAACGTCTTTTAGGGAAACTATTTCGACCTGACAGAAGCGAGAGGCTGCTTGCATTGTATCTCTGGACGGAAACGCACCATGCAGCTCTGGAGCCAAGGGGTGCAGGTGGGGCTCAAAGAACAGACGGCCAGGTTGTGGAATGGATATTGAAAGTCAGACTGTCCAGCTAGGATCTGTGGCTCCTCGGAAAGAGCATCTTCTGAAATCCATCATTTTCTGGAGCAAGGGCATTTGGTAGCAGCAACATCCAGGGGCCAGCTCTGACTTTTGAAATACCTTTGGGCCTTTTTTCTTGCTTTTGCTGGTTACACAGTGGATTTCAAGCCCCCTAGCTGACATAAACAGTATTTCTGAACAGAAGAGGATCCTTCTTCATCAACACTAAAATCTAATTTGCTGGACTTACCTGCATCCAGGAATTCAGCCAGCTAGTTGGTAAAGAGCAAGCAAGTAACCAAACCTACTGAGCCTGCAACTCACTCTTTATTTCAGTTCTGAATTCTGACACTGTCTCAATACTCATGTCAAACTTCTAATGTGGATCCTCAAGAAGTAAAAGCCGTAAGGAAAATAAAATCATAGAATCATTCAGGTTAGAAAAGACCTCTAAGATTATCAAGTCCAACTGTCAACCCAACAGTACCTTGACCACTAAACCATGTCCCCATGTGCCATGTCGGCACGGTTTTTGACACCCCCAGGGATGGGGACTCCAGCCCTGCCCTGGGCAGCCTGTGCCAGTGCCTCACCGCTCTCTCAGTGAAGAAATTGTTCCCAATATCCAACCTAAACCTCCCCTGGTGCCACCTGGGGCCGCTTCCTCTCATCCTGTCATCAGTAACGTGGGAGAACAGACCAACCCCCACCTCACTACACCCTCCTCTGAGGGAGTCGTAGAGAGCAGTGAGGTCTCCTCTCAGCCTCCCCCTCTCCAGAGCAAAGGATGCAAGGAGACAACATGGAGAAAAGGGGTTGGAGGCTGGAAATTAAGGCTAGATGGTATTTTCCAAAAGCTTTTCATTTTCCTACCTGACCGAGTTACTGGTCTAAACTTACAACTCTGCAAGCTGATACGGTTATAGTAATTCTGGTGTGTGAGGTAACTCATTCTGTGACAGTTTTTCAGTCTGCACCGCACTGTAGCATTAGATACAACCAGAAGCACACCAGTAGGGGCTTTAGAAAAGCTGACATACCAAAGCAAAAGGCTGGTATCTAAAAAGAAATGCTAGAGACACTGATGGGTTTTGCGCTGCCCCCTCAAGGGATCTGTGTGTTTTCCACGAGGATCATGATTTTTTTCCAGGAGTTTTTTCCATGCCTAAAAGTACATATTTCTACAGAAATATCAACGGACTGGAAAGCATTCCTAATCCAATTCCTTTACCCTCCAGAGCTCAATCTCTGAGTATTAGGGTGAAAATAAAAAAATCTCATAATGAAATGTTTCATTTGATTTAATGGGATTCATTTTCCCAAATACTAACACCAGTTTTGAAGGTAAGATTAGCTACTTATGACAATTTTGCCAGAGACCTAATGAAAACAGAAACACTCAAACCAATCCCATTTACGACTGAAATCTATGCAAGCGCTGCATCCTTAAGGAAGTATTCTAGATTAGCCAGCTCTTGCGGGGGTGTGGTTCAAGTCTTCTAGAACAGGAATATGCTACTTCTCAATTCTCTCATCTGACTCATCTTCTGGGGATGGGGAGACAATCATCGGGTCTGATGGTATTCCTCAAGAGTTCTAGCAGCAAGACCTATGAGCTAATACGCTCATACAAAGAGCTAACAGGAAGAGAAGATAGCTCCAGCAAGTTCTTATTCAAGCCAAGTTCTTAAAATGAAAATTAAAATAAATAAAAGTGAGAAGGCCAACAGCTGATACTAAAGGAAAAAGGTAAGAACAGGAGAAACATATACTGGTCTTTCCCCCAGAAAACTCTCCTAATCTGCCCAGCTTTGCAACTACCTTGCATTTGTACCAGCCCAATATTTCTTCCCATCGGTTTGTCACTCTGGCAACCTAAATACACTTTTAGTATTTGTAACATCCTACCACAAGAAGTTTCTAAGTTTAACTATGCTCAATTCCTTTTGTTTCATTTTAATTTGCTACTTGCCAGTTTCAACTGATGGTCTCTAAGTATTTACAAAAATAAACAGTAATTACTTCATGTTCACCTTTCCCATTTTGCTCATGGCTTTTCAAATGTTTTTCACGTCCCCTTTTCCATTTTCTCTTCAGGCTGGCACAAATGAAACAGAGTCTAAACTGGCTACAGATAAACAGCGAACAGAAAACGAATCATCTAAGCAACAGAGTGAACAGCTTTGTAATTTTTCCAGGAAATTCCTTTGTGGTGTTAAGATGGAATCTTCACTATACATGAAAAAGCTTGCATGCTATAAGTCTCAAAGTAAAAACATCCCAAACAAACAAAAAGAAACTGTCAAGAGAGTGCCTATATAATCCAGATCATTTTGGTTCTATATTCACAAAAACACCCAAGAATCTCGCAATTATGGAATCCTAGAATGGCCTGGGTTGGAAGGGACCTCAGAGATCATCTAACCCAACCCCTGCCATGGGCAGGGACGCTCTTAACCAGCCCAGGTTGCTCCAGGCCTCACCCAACCTGGCCTTGAACATCTCCAGGGAGGGGGCAGCCACAATTATTTTGTTGTATTTTGTATTTTCAAACGTGGAAAAACCCAGTGCTGCCTTTAAGTTTATTTCAAGCATTGGTTGCTTCAAACTGTGATAGGGCAAATTAATAAAATAAAATAAAAGCTTAAAAAGAAAAGTAGGACGCAGCTTTCATCCCCACATTTACTTTCAGTGCTCAATAAAAATATTATTCATTTATTATCACAGCCAGAACTTTCCCTAAACAGGAGTGTGTCACAAACTCTACCTTCAGGTACTTTCAAGATAAATTAGGTAAGCCTGAAGCTACAGAAAACCAAAGCCAACTAAAACAGTGATAACTCTGATAACATTATACAAAATTAATATAATCATATTTAGAGAAAAGGTGGAGATGCTTTTAACTGGCGTTCTTGGTCAATTCTAGAGGTCACTGTGAAAGACAAAAAGTCCTAATGTGCCGCTTTCAAAACATCATGCACATGATTTAGGGTATTTTATAATCTGAAGCAGATTTAGGAAAAAATATCTTTTCTAATTATGTCTTCCATGTCTTTTGCCCTTTATAAATAGCGAGGAAGAAGGGATGAAGACAGGTCTACATACAATTTGGCAATCAGAATCAGAGATTATTTCATATTTCTTAGTACAAACTGATACATCGGGGGAAAAAACAGTGAAACAATGGTGTGAAAGAATTAGAGAAAGTCGTTCCTCCTGGTAAGGCCACAGCTCACGTGGGAGTGCCGAACCACCGAACGTGCTTTTGACAACAGCGGCACACGGGGCGGGTGCTTATTGTATTAGTTGTAGTGACCATGGAAAGCCGGTCAGTAGTGAAGGCACTGCAAATCATTAAGGGCAGATAAAAATCAGCAATTTTCATCCACCCTGAATTTGCAGATGGATATGACAGTTTGCCTCTAAAGAGCTACTGTGTCCAAAAAGGAGTTACCTGCTGGAAGTACTTGTCACAGTTAATGTACTCCTTGTCATGGGAGTCTTGCAGCTTGTTGGTTTTGATGTACTGCCAGAGAGCCTGGATGATGGCTGAGCGGGTCTGGGTGTGTATCCCCAGCAGGCGAGCTAAGCGCGGGTCCAGTTTGAACTGTGGAGGCTGAAACAGAGAGAAGAGGAGATGGAGAGAGCAATGGAGAGAAACGCAGACAGACACACAGGTGCGAACTTTCAGCTTTGATTCTGGGGGACTGTTCCGCAGGAGAAGCGCCCCATTCAACAGCAGAGATTGCAAAAACACAAGTTGTTCAGACACATGCCACTGTCAGTGCTCTGGAAGAAAAGAAGGACACTCTGCATGTGCTGTGCACACAGACTACCCCGTCACATGCTTTAGGTAACGACGACTTGCAGGCTCAGGAAAGAATTTGCCTTTTCAATATCAATGCAGAATTTGACTTTAGGGAAGGGGAGAAGAAAAAGAACAGTGCTTCCTCTGAACGACGGGAGGTTACCCACAGAGAGGGTGAAGGAAGTCAGGACGATGCTTCTGCTGTGGCCAATAACTGCTCAGCTGACTCACACCAGCAAAGTGCCTTGAAACTCTGGTTTTCAGACACGTTGCACCACTCTGCTGCATACAAGAAAATTTCCCCACCTACAACTAGTCAGTGGAATATATTTTTTTCTCCTGACCTCTGGCTCTTCAATCACCCTCTTCTGCATTTCTAACAATACACATTCTTTGGATACTTTGGAATTTGATGCCTCTGCAAGTGTGTACCCATATTCAGGTTTAATATTTGCTGCATTATTAGGCAAGGATAGCTCTGTTGTGTGCCAGCTGATCCAAAGCTAGCTTTATAACAAATCAAGACTTAAGCATAAGAAACATCTACTCTGAAACATAAATTTACAATAATGGTGAGCATAACATCATTATAGTGGCTAAACAATAAAGATTCTCATTGGCTATATCAGCATTTCAGTCAGCTCACATACTCCCTAACATTATTAACATTTTCTCTCTGTTAACACAAAAAGGAGCATCTTTATCCTGGAGAGACGCTATTTGCACAGAGGGGAAAGAGAACGGCACAGAATGAGTTCTTAGTCTTACAATCAAAATGCATCTGGGACTGAACTGCCACTGAAAAGGGGGCTGAACTAGGTGACCTCTAGAGGTCCCTTCCGACTTTGATGATTCTGTGATGCGATGAAAGTGTGCCCAGAAACCTCTTTTGTACTCTATCCCAAGACAGAATAACCTTATTTTGCGTATTGGGTTTTTTTTGTTTGTTTATTTCCTGTGACTGGCATCAGGGAATTGATTTGGAGGTGTTTTGTTAGCTTTTTTTGTCAGTTCCATGACTTGTCTGTATTCAGCCCACTACTACTGCTGCACTACTAGTAGTGCAGCAGAAGTAGCGCTGGCAGAAGAGAGGAACCGGAATGCCTAAGGAGGCCCAAGAGTAAGGGCAAATCTAACCTCTGCAGGGCAAGGCTGTCTTGTGCCAGGTTAGGGTGACAACGTAACTGAAACTCAAAAAACCGGGAAATCTGTGTAACCTCCTCTGAAAAAAGGCTGCTCCAGCTACATGGCTAGTGCAGGTACTGTCAGCAGAAGCCACTCCTTTGAACTTCTGTACAGGAGCACACACACAGCTCATGTGCAACTTACCTGACTATTCTCTAAGAAGCCTGAGGCAGAAATGCATATTCTTTCTGCAGATTGGCAATAAAAATACTAATTATCACAGTGCCAAGAATAATATTTTGCTAGACTATAATAGAAATTTACTTGATGTGAACCCTTTAAATAGTTTGGTACCATTCTAACCTCAATGGGCTATATGACCTTTTGAGTCCCAGTACACTGGTTTTTAATGCCCGTGACAGGGTGGATTTGCTCTGCTGCACGGTGTCCCAGAGGCTGTATTTTCCATGCCAAAAGCAGCACGCTGACCTGGTAGTCCAACATGAGGAGCAATGTGCACCGCACGCTGACATCGCCGGGTCTTTTCACCTGGAAACCATCCGTCTCCTGCGTTGTGGGAGTTCTGTGCCACTGCCCAAGGCAAAAACAGGTAAGACAGTCAGTCTCTTCTTCCCTGATGTCCACGGAGATGCATCCTGCCCAGCATGCTATGCGACATTACAAGTACAAGCCTTCTGAAGATCTTGCAATTTAAAATTAAACAAAGCGCACATCCCCCTCCAAATGATGTCTTGCTCCACCCTTACAATTCAGCTTTAGTGCACACTCTGGTGTTAGCACGCTCTACTTGTTGGAGAAAATACACACAATTTTTTCATCATTTCATACATTCTGCTAGAAAACGTGCACTACATCACTACCACATATATGTTTCTAGAAGATGCAGATTCTGTTTATAACCTTTCTTAAAAAGACTGGAATTTTGAAAACTTTGGCAATATCTTAAATGTGATAATGAATGCAAGGTAACTTAAACAAGGTAGGCAACAGGCACGCAGCTGTTTATCTGGGCTCATACCACGTGTGTATGCAAAGGGTGCACAACCTCTTACCTCCACAAGATGGTTGTCAGGCCCATACAGATCTTTGTCCAGTTCAATAACCAAACTCTTAAAAAAAGAGGAAAACTTCCGCTTCTGTTTGCTGAGCTGCAGAACCAGAAGAAACAGAAATGTTTAAGGCTGCATATATTAGCTCGTGTTCTACGCTTCCTTCTCAGACTTTCTCTTTCTCTTGAACATTAATTCCCACATAGACTGCAAGTATGATCAGTCCAGTTGAGCCTTCCCTACGACAAATGCAGGGTGAGATGCAAAAATTCAAACTGTGATAGAACAGTGCACGCTGAAGGGAAGATTTCCCTGAGTCTCTTAAAGTTATTGGAGACTGGCTTGTGATGTGAACATGGCACCTGTGAGAGCAGGTCCAGAGGAGGCCATGAAGATGCTCAGGGGCTGGAGCAGCTTCCTTTTCCTCCACCCTTGCTCTGACCATACATCCTTTTGTCCTCCCTAGGAAAATGAACTACTTGCTTGTCCTTGCTCTACTCTTCACAAGCCCGACTTATCACACCTCTTGCAACCTGAACCCTGCCATATCTTTCAAGGGAATTGTCTCAGCCCTGTTTTCTCTACCTCCTCCTACCTGTCCTGTCTTTAAGTCTGCTCCATCTCCTGCTTCCCTCCCCACCATCCCCACTCTGGCCTTATCCCTCACTCCAGCAGTAACGAGCCAATGCTGCCATCAGAGATGTCTGAGGTGATGTCCTCAGTGAAGTCCACCACCCTCCAGGGCAATCTCCAGAGCCTTGCCAGCCCCAGCGAAGCACAGGGCAGCCGTACGTCATCCAGGAGCTTCCCCTCCACTCGCAGCTCCCACGAGGCGATGCTGCCATCGGAGTCGTCAGCGTCAGATTTTGCAGGATTAAACGTGTTGGAGATGTAAAGTCTGAGTTTCCGCTTTTGCTGTTACACAAATAGAGAAAAGAGAAGTACACGTTCTCTTTAAGTCCAAGACTCGAGGAAGCCCCAGGAAAGGCGATACACATTTAGTGGAGAATCTGCAGGTTTACTACAGTTGCACCAGGTTATACTAGAATTTAAGATTTGGTTATGCATAAGAAAATACACTGAAGAGCTCAACTTGAAACTTCCTTTCAAAAACTATAGGCTATACAGTCATGCTAAGATCCACTGCACGTGGGGAAAGGCCGAAGGCTGCAGGGCCACCAACCCCATAAGGCTACATATCCCACACTTCTGGATTAGACGCTTGAGAAATCGTAAGACAAGTACAATGCAGGGCCTGTCCTGCCTAGATCCTAGCTAGATGGCTAAGACCCACCTGCCAAGCTCTTTCTACACGAATGCCTTCCATAGTTCTGCAAGTTTACATTTGTAACTGGCAGCCAGACAGAGAGCTAATGCTGCAAACTACATGGAGGGCACGGCTCTGCCCATCTCCATGCCACCATCATGCGGAGCCCAGTAACGGCCTTCCGACAGACACACCCAAACACACCCCACAACTCCCCTCTTCAACTGTGCTCACCCTTACCAAACACACCGCAGCTCCAACTTGCTGTGAGACCCAAGTGGAGGAAGGCTCTGTGCTTCGTTCCTAACCCACGTGCTCAAGTCACGTTCCTGTGCGATCTACTGTAGGTGATCCTGCTCTGGCAGGGGGCTGGACTGGATGATCTTTTGAGGTCTCTTCCAACCCCTGACATTCTGTGATTCTGTGATCACTGCACTGGCCCATGGCTACGTTACTTCTCAGTGCTCTTCTCTTCCATGCACCGTGTGGAAAACCTGGCCATTAGCTCTTGATGTATGGACTCCAGAAAAGATATTGCCAAAACTTTCTTTGAGACTGTAATCTCAAATATCTCTTTATAATATAACAACAAAAAGGCTTCAGTCACTGAGTTAATGCAGTCAGAACAACCTCCACACAACACAAGAAAACAGTAGCCTTGTAAAGCTTTTGCACTGACACACACATACAGGAGAGAAGGAAGTTATGTACATCAGGTCAGAAAACTAACAATCTAATTTGGCACAGAGGAACATGGGTGGCACAGGTGTATGGTTGAAAAGGCACTAGAAAATGACTGCACCTTGCCAAAGCAAGAGAAAACAGTGACAGAAAGGCGTGATGCATTCACACATTCCAAGAGTCCAGAAGATGACAGGTTGACACAGGTAAGAACAGGCAGATGGGTAGAGAAACATTCCTAGAAATCCATATTCTTTCTCCATCCTTTCCGATAGGATTTCTGCGGCTAAAGTGCTCTGTCGTTATGTAATTATTATTTTTTTAATACTCCAGAATCTTTATTTGGTGTGGAGGTCCCATGAAGGACTTCACATTTCTAAATTCACAACTCTTCAAACCACATTTTATGCACTGTTCCTTTATCCCCAGATTTAAAAAAAATGGTTAAGCAGCTTTTTTTCTTAATAGTTCCTCCTAGACGCACTACTGATATTTCAGATTTATATCATTGATTCCATTTCCCCTTCTTTTGATTTCCAAAGACATTATCCCCATTCTCCCTTTTTCCCTGGGTACTTCTCTTCTTCTCCCGTCTCCCCAGATCCAGACGGGAACTGCATCTGCTTCCTCCAAACTCTGACATTTCATCACCAAGATCATCCTCTGCACTAACATCCCTATTCAAGCCTGAGTATTTCAGATCCCTTCCTTTCTCCCAGCTTTCAGGCTCTAGCTGCCTTGTGCAGTCCACGAAACCCCAAGTCACCAACACCACCTAACTCCGCTGTGAAATACAAAATACCTTCTACTGTCTCCCTTCGCCAGCCCCTCGTCACTTTTCTTTCAAGCCATGCACAAGCCCGGTGCAGTTACATTTCGGAACTGGTCTCCTGCTGCGTTCCCTCTGCTCTGCTCTGCCACAGTCAGAGCCTGCATATCACTTGTTTGCTTCCCCCACATCTCTCTTTTCAGTTTAGAGTGTTTTCTTCTAACACAGGGAATTCTTTCTCAAATTAATCGTTTCCTCGCTGTAACCCTACAGATCAACCCACTTCTGCCACATTGTCATCAGAATAATTATGAATGAAAACTCTAAGTAATTCTAAGTATCTCTAATCTTTCGTCCTACTTTCTACGTATCTTGATTTTAGATCAAAAATCATTTAGCCTTTGACTCTGATGCATTACAGTCACTACTGACAACCTGTAAGGACAGAGGAATGCTGGGCCTTTGGTCTCTGCTAAGCAAAGACGCTCTATCCAACGTGCAAAACGTACAGCCTGCACCTTGGGGGCTGTCCTCAGATTTTGGCACAAAAAGTACTGCAAGTCTGCAGCACTGTTAAGGCAGGGATTATCTCCTGAATGCAGCCACAGAAAGATCCTTCCTTCTGACTCAACAAGAAATCAGTCAAATAGGGCAACTGCACAGCTGCAAGAGGATCCCATCATCAAATGGGCTTTAAATCTAATAAAAATCTTTATTAGAAAACAAAGCAGAATAAGGGAGCATAAAGAAGGAAAACTCACATTTGCTGGCTAAAATGGAATAATAATAAAAAAGGTTTTGTAAACCAAATTTTCTCTGCTCAGATGTCCTTGAAAATGGATCTTTTCTTCAGGCTTGCTCTTATTCCAGCAACTCTGTGACTTCCAGGGTGGCAGAAAACTCTGCAGGGTCATTTCTGGGGAGACACAGAGAATCCTCTCTTTTTTATTCCTTCAGACCCAACTGTGCCTTCACTCAGGAGACTCCGGAGGCAGTTCCTCAGTGCCCCTGCCTCGCTGCCTGCCCTGCCCTCCACCTGGCACCATCTCCTCCTGAGGGCTCCAAGGCAGCACCAGCCCAGCCTCCCTCCCTCCAGCTGAGCCACCACCCTTGGAAAGGAACCCCAGAGAGCCAAGGCAAGCAGGTGTCAGCCCTCACAGTAGTCGTGATCCGTAACTCCAGACCTGACCTGCAGAGTGCAGCCAGATCTGCCAGAGCCATTCTGGTACAGAGACTGAAGAAACTTTGAAAAAGGTACTTTGCCATGAACGCTGCCTGAAGACACTAAAGACGTCTCCCCTTTGTACAGCACTGTGCTGAACCAGAAACGGTACAGCCTCCACAGCTTCGTCCGTGAAGCTGCTGCCAACATGAAACCACAGAATGGCTTGGGTTGTAAGGGACCTTAAAGATCAACTAGCTACATGTCCACCCCTAGAATCACAGAATCATAGAACAATTCAGG